TCTCCTATTCATGTAGCTAGAATTATGGGAAGAACTGTTGGAAACCTTAACCTACCTAAGAAGAACCTGGATACTACACAGACCTTAATGTAAGTAGCTGCTACTTAGGAAAGAACAACGTATTTTCCTCTGTCTTCTGCTTATGGGTAACCTGTAGCCATACTCTACCAAGGATGTTGTGAAGAATGAGATCATTAATGTAGGTTTTTGATGCAGAGCTGTCACTTAACTAATAGCTATATGTGTCTGTTGCTCTATGATTTGGACTTAAACTGGCAGCTCTATGCAGAAAGCAGGAGGTAGAGAGAGGAGGATCATGTTCACCCTAAGAAGTTAAGGGAAGTAGTGAAAGGATTTTTAATAAGGGTGAGGGATCTCCTTTCTCCAGCTCTTTTTAGGTAACATCCCAGAGGCTGCTAATACCCTGCTTTTGTCTGAACAAGTATAAATCCTACTTATGCCTCAAGACCTGCTCAAAAGTCTCTTTCTCACTGGAAGTCACAACAGTCTTTTCTTATAAACTCCTAGTGCCTTTTAGCACTCACCATGTATTACTAAAAAAAAAATTTTTTTTTCTGTACTGCTGTATTTTCCCCAACTGGTATGATTCTAAGGGCAGGGCCCACATCTTGTTAATTCTTGTGACCTGTAATATTCACTATGTGTTTGTCAAATGAAAAAGCATATGGCTTACAGAGTGGCTTTCTACTTACATCACTGTAAATAACTATACAAACAGGTGATTTTCTCCCAAGTTAGCAGGGATGTACAAGTTATAACTTTTTTCAAAGTAATCTCTACCAGAATATCATTTGCTGCCCTCCTATGTTTGATTAAAAATATTATTTATACCCAGATATAGAATGAAATACAGTATATATACAATAATACATTATGTTGTCACAGAATTTCAAAAAGAACTACACTGCACTATCCTCCCGTTGTTTATCAATTTGCTCAAGCGGCCCAGTAACATCTCCATTGTGAGATTTGTTGTTACTGTGTTTGGCATATCTCCATTGTGAGATTTGTTGTTACTGTGTTTGACATATCGAATATGTGACAGGGAGCTTGCCAGGCTTTGCCGTGCAGGCGAGATACATCATGGGTAGCTTGCCAGCTCTCCAAAAGGGGTGGAGGAATTGAACTCAGGTCAGTCTTGTCGACCATGTGCAAGGCAAACGCCATACTGCTGTGCTATCGCTCCAGCCAGCTCAATTAAATTTATTTGGATTGCACTGTCTGAATTATTAAAGTATTTTAACTACTTCCAGATCCTTGAGTGGAAATTTTTTTTCCCACAGAAGAACACACACACAAAAAAATCTCTCCCCACACAAAAATTGCACAGATGTATATGTATTCAATTAACCTGCTGATGGATATCGAGGATCTTTTACCTTTACAAATGATACAGCAATAAACAATCCTATATATGTACAGGAATATTTAACACACACAAACACTATACACACATATGTATATAAAGGTGCATATACGTAAAACGCAACTGCTATCTATGGAGTAATATATGAATATAGCATTCACGATCACAATCATCCTGTTGTTCGTTGATTGCCTCGAGCAGGCACCAGTAACGTCTCCTTCGTCCTAGCCCTGAGATTTTAAAAAGTGCTGTATTCAAGGCTCTTTCAGGGTTAGGAGAACGGTACTTGGCATATTGGGTACACCACGGGGAGTTTGCCCGACTCTGCCGTGTGGGCAGGTTACATTCAGGAGCCTGCCAGGTTGTCATTCTAAAGTAAGAATGATATAATAAGATGTCGCACGGCCCCAATTGTGGCCGCATGCTTCTGGGAACTGTGTTTTATAGTCTCTGGGTCTTGAACGTTGGTGGGATTACACGGCGCTGGGGGTCAGTTGGTGGGTGTGACCCCTGCCTACTGGACAATGGAGGATCTGGGTGGAGGATGCTCAGCCCCGATCTGAGCAGGCTTGGAGATCTCAGCCCCGGGACCAGCATGCCTTTTTCCTCGGCCAGTACCTTCATGCATGTAGAGAGTGGTCTCAGCATGGTTGTGGCTGGTTCTGGAGGTCTTCAACTGCCGAAGCTCTGCTCAGGGCAGGGAGGGAAATTCAATTCGTCCCCTTCCAAGGGCCCCCGGCGAGGACAGCCAGGCGCAGGGGCAGGAGACTCTGTGCTGTTTTCTTCCGGGAGCTGGGTTTTATAGTCTCTGGATCTTGGTTGTTGATGGGAGTTCCCTAACTTGTATGAGCTAACCAGGATTCGATCTTCCGCACATCACATGGTCCTGGAGCCTCTACCAGGAGCGATTCCTGAAAGTATAGCATTATGGAATATGAACTAAATTCCATGAATAAAAAAACTAAATCATAAAAAATGATCTAGAATTACTATACTTCAAATTTTGTTTTGACCCCTTAGCACAATGCCAGTACAATGGTTTTCTACAGAAACTAATTTTTGCTTGAAAGAATAACAGTTATTCAAACCATGGTATTTGCCCGACATTTTCTTGAAAATGAGCCAAGTAGTAGTGTACTGTTGGTAAATAAATAAAACTTAATAAGAGAATGTCCAATCCTGAAGTAGTTCAAAGACATAAAGACCACATCCGTTCGAAGGGGGTGGGAGGTATACTGGGATCATTGGTGGTGGAGAATGGGTACTGGTGGAGGGATGGGTATTCGATCATTGTATAACTGAAACCCAGGCACAAAAAATTGTAAATCTACAACTGTACCTCATGGTAATAAAATCTTAAATAAATAAATAAATAATAAAATTAAAAAAACCTCTTTCCCCTCCAATAAATAAATAAATAAATGACAGACCAATCTGTTCAAGATGTAAATCCTGAGCTCTGCGGAGATGGAGAAACTGAGGCACCATCCAGATGTCTAAATCCAAGGTGCAATACAGAGAAGGGTGGACCCCTTTGAAAAGGAGAAAGTACAGAAGGAACTTAAAGTGACCAGATTATGAAAATCAATAGTGCAAGGCTTTCCCTATGATAATGCTCAGATTCCCATCTTCCTAGGCAGAGAATTCCAGGGGGGAAAAAAAACTGTTATTGAAATTGCAACTTCCTTCGATAGCCATTCTGACTTTCTCTTTCAAGGGCTATTCCTGGCTCTGCTTTGGGGATCATGTGGTGCACGGGATTGAACCCTGGCCTCCTGCAGGTTCAAGCATGTTCTTCAGCCTCTTGGTTGTATTATCTGGCCCCATTCCATCTTTCTAAGTATTATATATTTTCCTATTTTAAACACTCTGGTTTACAAAATTGTTCATGATGCATTTGTTAATGGCATTCAATATTCTAATATTAATCCCTCCAGTGTGACCTACCCGTCATTCTCTCCATTTCCCCAAACCTCCAAGCCTGCCCCTTTGCAGGTGCCAAATAATTTATTTCATACTGCTAATAAAATTATCAAAAAACATTTTTCAGTAAAAAAAAACTTGTGAAAATTGTTACGTCTGACCATGGGGACATTAAGTCTTGTCCAGTGTTTACGAAGCTGCAGTGTAGCTAGTTGAGCTTCTGTGTTAATGTTTTTGCTTATTGAGCTTAGTTGGCTTCTATGCTACTTTCTCATCTAATTTGGTGTGCTCCTACTGGGCTGTATTGTAGTTTGGAGCAAAGTCATGTGGACACAACAAATGTGGCTGTGCACTCCAGAAACTCCTGAATATTTAATTGGGCAGTGAAGCTATCAGAGAGTGGTTGGAGGATGTGGGTGTGCCTTCCAGAAGTATAAGAGTGCTGGGGAGGCCTTGTCTGCCTCCACTCCTAGAAGACCCCTGGCTCTCAGCGAAAAGACTGTTGTACCTTGCTGTTCTGAGTCACTTTCCCGCAGTGAGCTGGGTTCCCTGATGCATTTGGGGACCAACACTGGCTTGTCTACAGAGTTTGTGGCTTCCTTCTACCTCCCCCAGTGTAACAACCCCCCCCCCCCCACCAAAGTCTTATGGGGGAAATTGCGCATAAAACCCAACCTACATCACTGCTGTTCATGGGATTACACGGCACACTGGGGCAGTTGGTGGGTGTAACACCTACATACTGGCTGTCCTCTCCAGGGCCCCTTGGAGGAGGATGGGTTGTGTTTCCCTCCCCACCCCAAGCAGAGCCCCAGCAGCTGAAGATCTCCTGTTCCAGCCACACCCATGCTTAAGACCACTCTCCACACTCATGCATAAAGGAACAGTCAGAGGAACCCAGATGTGCGGGACCCAGGGCTTAGATCTCCAAGCCTGCTTGGACCGGACCGGGCCTCCTCTACCCAGATTCCCCATCTTCCAGTATGTAGGCGTTACACCCACCAACTGCTCCCACCCTGTAATCCCATCAACAGCCAAGACCCAGAGGCTATAAAATGCAGCTCCTGGAAGCATGCAGTCACATTTGCAGCTCCGGCAACATCTTTTACTCTGGAGAACCCTACAGGCTACCAAAAGTATCCTGCCCGCACGGCAGAGTCTGGCAAACTCCCCGTGGCGTATTCAATATGCGAAAACCCAGTAACAATGATGGGTCTCATTCTCCTGACCCTGAAAGAGCCTCGAATGTGGCACTTTCCAAAATCTCAGGGCTAGGATGAAGGAGATGAAGGAGACGTTACTAGTGCCTGCTCGAAGAAATCAATGAACAACAGAATGACAGTGATACAGTGATATATCACTGCTGAAGATAAGACAATCCCAAGAGTGTGAAATTTACAAAGACGATAGCAGATGATTTGAATCAGAAAAGAGACTGAGATGCCATAACCCCAAACCTTAATTCTGAAGGCACCGTGAGTCTGAATAAAAGCTCTGGGGAAGTTAAATGTGGGAAAATTTGTCATAGTTGTGTGGTGGGGTGGGGCAAGGGAGGGCAAAACTGCCCAGACATGAAGGCTGGCCCTAAGCTTCTGCTCCCAGCATGCCCAGCCCAGTTGCCCTTCCCAGAACCGTCTCTGGGATCTCTTTTCCCTTATACAAATAGTGGACACCGAGACATTGCCTTGAAACTTCTGAACTTTATGGAAAAAAGCAACAACAATCAACTTGACCCCCAGGAGTCCCCTGCGCCCCCAGTCCTGTTTCACACCAGCACATCTTTCTAAAGGTTCTCCGAGGTTACAGTTCTCGACAGTCCTGCCGCCTTCCCAGGGCGTTTTCGAAGGGTCCACGGGAAAGCAGGTCAGGCAGGACTCTCCCAGTTTAGCAATGCTGAACTCGGACTGCCTGAGGCAGAAATCATCGAGAATCGGTCCCTGGTGGTGGTGGTGGGGTGGGCAGAACCCCTCGAAGAAGATGCCAAAGCGAAGGTAGGGAGGAAGAGGGGCGCCGGCTGGGTGGCCCCGTGGGCGGCCGGGCTGCTCTCAGTTCTCCTCGGGCTTGTCGGCGGGCGGGCCGCAGGGCTGCAGCATCTTCTCCATGAGGTTGAAGCGAACTCGCGCTTTGCTCTCGTTCTCCGCAATGGCAAAGTAGTTGAGGAGGTCGAAGTGGCCCATGTAGGAGCAGTAGGAGTCGCGGTGCTGGTTCACCAGCCATTCCCACTTGGTCGTGTCGGCGTGGCCCGTGCCGATGTACTTGGACTGCAGGTGCTCCAGCTGGCTGTGGATGGTGTAGCGGTCAGTCATCTTGCCGCTTTCCTCTAGGTGCCCAGGTCAGAAGCCGGGAGACTAGCAGGAAGCGCACTCGAGGCTTTCACGCCGGGGAGCGGACGCCGCGCCAGAGATTCGGAGCCGCGCCGTCGCAAGCGAATGACGTCAGGGCGACGAAGCCCTTAGGATTCGCGGGCCTGGGGACTCCGTGGCGGAAGCGGAAGTGGAGTCGATCCCGGCATTGGGGTTGCCTAGGCGACGCAACAGAAAGCCCGCCCCTCGTCGCCTGCTGGTTCTATTTAGAGCCGTCCTTTTCCCCCTCCCCCTGCCCAGCATGGAGCTTTGCATGCTGGGATTTGTAGTCTTTGAGGGGTCAGAGCCGGTGGGTTCCCCCTTGGAGGATGCTAGTTTAAGAGACCAGGGGGATTCCTGAATCCTGGGGGTGGGGCCGGTGCTGGGAGCACATGAGAAACTCAGGTTGGCCAGGATGATCAGAAACTGTGAAAATAAATTCTTCGGCTTTCCAGGACAGTGTGCAGGCACGGTAGACCCTTCCCAACCAGGGCTGCATCACCCTGAAGTTAAGGGGTGCGGGTTCTGCCCCCAATTAGGTGCCTTATAAATTGTGTGTGAGGGTGAAAGTCGTTTCAAAGCTGGAAAAAACCCTCTGTTTCCCGCCTAGGGAGCATAGTAGGTGCCAGTTCCAGCACGTTCCGCATCCATCTGGAGCTGCTCCCTCCTCTCTCCGACACCAGGCCCAGCCCTGGCCCCAGCATGCTGTACAAGCTGTTCCCTTCATGTGGAATGTCTTTGTTCCCTTGGCAAACACTTCTCCCTATAGGTCACCCCCAAAGCATCTCCTTGAAATCGATTGTGGCTACGCCAGACAGATGTAAACCGTCTTCCCTTTCTTCATTTTGCACATCTCTTTGTGATTATGGCTTTCGACCTCCATTTTTGGCCTAAGAGCCTCCTTAGCAAATAAAACTTGACTAAAATAGTTTAGTTTGGGGGTATCTTTTTTAATCACATGCTTCTTATATGATAGCATATCTTCCTGGCCTGGCAGAGATTGTATTCTCAAAAACATTTGATTAGTCAATAAAGTGTATTAGGGGAAAAAGGGAAATTTTTAAGTAGTTTTAATCTGGCACCAGGCTGCAGTTATTTAGGATGATTAAATCTAGAAATCTGATTTATTTATCTAAATAAATCTAGACATTTGGCAATTTGGTGTCTATTAAGATGAAGTTCATTATGTTTGCCACTCAATGCCTCTTTTGCAGACCACAACACCCAAAAGGAGAGAGAGAACAAAAGGGAATGCCCTGCCACAGAGGCAGGGTGGGATGGGGGGATAGGGGGGTATATTATCCATGGTGGTGGAAAATGGGCACTGGTTGAGGGATGGGTATTTGATCATTGTATGACCGAAACCCAAGCACAAAGATTTATAAATCTACAACTGTACCTCATGGTGCTTCACTAATAAAAAAAAATGAAGTTCATTCTGAACCTGTCAACTGTATCAGCCTTTATGGTTTGTGCCTTTTATTTTGCATTTGTTAAAATTGTCAAACAAAACTTTTCTACATCAAGCAAAGCCTTTACTCAGCCTGCATAGAATGATTAGTTCCTTTCATTTTCTTCTAAAAGTTTTGAAATTTTGCTTTCTCACATTTAGAACCTTAAGTCACCTGGAATTTTTTGTTTTGTTTTAAGGATCTAATTTTTAAATACATTCCTACAATGGTTAACTAATTCCTTGTAATAATTAATTATTCATCAAATAAAACAGACTTCCCAGGCTTGTGTTTTTGTCGTTATGTGCATGGTTCTGTGTCATGGCTTTGTGTGTTCCAAGAATCATGTCTATACCTTCATCACTACCTCAAGCTCTTCATTTTGTATCTTTATAGTACATTTTGATATCTAATAAGGGGTAAAAGCTTGCACAATTTTCTTCTCATGAAAATTTGTAAGTACAGGTTGGAGAGGTAATACAGTTAAACCCTTAACTATTCTGAAAAAAAGTCAGCTTTTCTTGATCCTTTGATCTTCCATATGAATTTAGTAAAATTGTCATAGAAATTGTGATTAAATGGTGAAAACAACAAAGTAGGATTTTTTAAATATAATCATATTTCTGTGTAATTAAGGATGACTCTAAGAATACAGTAGAATTCCTGAAAGACAAAGATATTTGGAATAAGATGAGAAAAAATGTACATGCATTAAGATCCCAGATGTTAGTTTGCTAGTGTTACCCACTGTACTACTGTTACAGACAGTCACTACTGTTCTCAAGAAGTCAACAGGGAAAACAAAGGACCAGAGATGGAATGGTCAAATTCAAAGATTTTATTCAAGAGAAGAGAAAGAAAGGGAAAAGTCAACAGAGAAGCTCTCAGATTATTGATGGGGTCTCCTTAAGCAGAATTCCACCAAAAGGCAGAAATGTTTCCTCTTTTATACTTTTTTAATAAAGTGAGGTGGGTGAGCCTTTTTTATTGAAGTGGGCTGGTAAAACAGGGGTTAACATGTCGAGGTGATTATCTTCTGATGTCCAGTTATCTAAGTAATTCACCTATCAGGCACATCCTGGGCACACTTGTGACATTCCACATTAGTAACTCCATTTCTTAGGGCCTTATTCTCATATCACCCTTCCTACTCCTCTTTGTCCTGATCACTACTATCACAGATTGGGTAACTAAATTATTAAAATGTGGGATTTTATATGCATTTATCTAAAATTCATTTTATACACATATAAAAATTTATATAAATCATATATTTTATGATTCATTCATACAAAAATTTATAATTTTCTACTTTGCCTGGTTTAACTATATTTATTAAACATATTAAATATTAAAATATTAAATAATTGATTTAATATTAACATAAAATGTTGTAATTTATGCATTCATAATATATTATGAATGATCAAGTACGAATCATTGGTCTGACCGAGACAAGAAGACACGAATCTCACCATGCCGTTTTCGACACTGGAGAAGAATTGTTCCTCGGAACATGCGATAAAAGAGGTGTTGGAGGCGTCGGTGTCCTTGTCAACACAAACTTGGCCAAGAGCATTGATTCATTCGAATGCCTAACAACCCGAATCGGACGTTTACATTTGAATAGATGTGGCTCACTGCCTGCAGTTTCTATCTTCGTTGTCTACGCACCAACATCTCATTATGATGAAAGAGAAATCGAGAAGTTCTACATGGAGCTAGAGAAGTTCTATAAAGAAGACCACACCTTCTACAAGATCATTGTGGGTGATTTTAATGCCAAGATAGGACCGAGAAGATCAGCTGAAGAACTTCACATCGGGACCCATGGCCTAGAATGGAACGAACAGGGTGAGAGACTGTCTGAGTTCATCATGTCGACCAAGACCATTCATGGTAACTCACAGTTCCAGAAGGCAGAATCTAAACGATGGACATGGGAGTCTCCCGGTGGACGATTCCACAACGAAATAGACCACATCATATTCAATCGACGGTTTTGCCTGACTGATGTCGCTGTTGTCCCAAAATTTCGAACGGGATCGGACCACCGTCTCCTTCGTGCAAAATTCTACTTCACAGAGCGGGGAGAAAGGGCTGCAAAGTTCAAAAAGAGAACTCCCAGAACGACCACCAACTGGGAACTCTTTGGTACTATTGCGGCAACATGGGAAGATGCCATTGTTGACAACATTGACGAGGAATACGATCGACTGGTTCAGCACCTCCATGAATGTGCGAGGAACGCCAAGAGAGAGATAGCCACAAAAAGTCGCCTATCTTCGAAAACTCTTGAGCTAATTCGCCAGCGTGGTTTGGCGCATGCCTCAGGCAACCGCAAGCTAACGTCCGAGCTTGCAAAGCAGTGCAGAGATGCGATCAAGGAAGACCTCAAAGAGAGAAGAGCAGAAGTACTGGTAGATGCGGCAGAAGCCGGGAAAAGTATTCGTAACGCCCGCCTGTCCTTCGCCAACTATAAGACCAAGATGACTGCCCTCCGACGTCCTGATGGATCCATCACATCCTCCAGAATGGCAATGGAGAAGATTATCCATGACTTCTACTCAAATCTCTTCGATAGCCATGTCCACTTGCCGACATACCAAATTCCACAGGATGGGTATGTCGTTCCCAACGTTCTCCCTTCCGAAATCCGACACGCCATTTCGTCAGTAAAGAAGCAAACAGCACCCGGCCCAGACAAGGTCAGACCTGAACACCTGAAGAACCTGCCGTCAGTACTCATCAATACACTGGCTCGGCTCTTCACTCGCTACCTGTCTGAATGCAAGGTTCCATCTCAATGGAAAACCAGCAGGACCGTACTACTGTTCAAGAAGGGAGACATCCATGACATTGGCAACTATCGCCCGATCTGCCTATTGTCTGTCATCTACAAGTTGTTCACTCGAGTCATCCTGAATAGGATTGGCAGAACACTAGATGAAGGACAACCATGTGAGCAAGCAGGGTTCCGCAAAGGATTCAGCACCATCGACCATATCCACACGATAACCAAACTCATTGAGGTTTCTCGGGAGTTCAAGATGCCGCTCTGCTTAACGTTCATTGATTTAAAGAAGGCCTTTGATTCTGTTGAGACGGAAGCGGTCATTGAAGCCCTAGCCAATCAGGGCATTCAAGCCCAATACATCAGGATCCTCCGTGAGCTGTATTGCGGATTCACTACCAGGATCTCACCATTCTACAAAGAAGTGATCGTTGATGTCAAGAGAGGGGTGCGGCAGGGTGATACCATTTCACCAAAACTCTTCAGTGCCACCCTCGAGAACATCATGCGACGACTGGAATGGGAAGGAATGGGAGTGAAGATAGATGGTCGGCAACTACACCACCTCCGCTTTGCTGATGACATTGTTTTAATAACACCAAACATCAGCCAAGCGGCACAAATGCTGGCCGACTTTGACCGTGAGTGTGGAAAGGTAGGACTACAGCTGAATCTTACGAAGACAATGTTTATGAGAAACAGCCTTGTTCCTGACGCCCCATTCGCTCTCAATGGAACGACCATCTCCGAATGCAACAGCTATGTGTACCTAGGTCGAGAGGTCAACATGACAAATGACCTGGCACC